CCCCAAAACCCCAAAACCCCAAAACCCCAAAACCCCAAAACCCCAAAACCCCTTTTATTAAACCATAATTGAAACTTCTTGATTAACTTTCATTTTCGTTATACATTTGGCTCTTTATATACCTTCAAATGAGAGATCACAATTGTATTATCATGGGCTGTTTGAATATTAGAGGTCTTCTTTCCTTTAAATTCATACATATATTTTAAGAAAGTTCCGCTCTTATTCCCTGTTGTCTGTAATTTTGAGTCGCCACCCCAAGTGAAAATTCGACCATCTTTTGTTTTAACCAAATTATGGCTTTGCCCACTAAACACAGCCATAGCTTCGAAACCTGTATCTATTTGATTAGGAGTATCCTGTCTCTCTTCATAAGTTGCAAGCTGTCCTTTGGAGTTATCTCCAAAGGAGTACATCTTTCCTTCAGTATCAACAACTACAGAGTGGCGGTTTCCAACACTGATAGAATGCACTTTGATATCTTTATTATCAAAATAAGCATGCTTAACTGGTGCTTCAACTGTAACTTCTTCTGTCTCCGGATCCCTCCCAAGCTCTCCATAGGTGCCATCTCCCCAAACATAAAGCTTCTTGTTCTCATCAGTTGCAAGCCCGTGCTTAGTGCCAAGTGCAATCTTGACTGGATATTTAAACTGTCAAAAGAGGGAGGGCTCCCTTTGGAAGAATCCATTAAAGTCTCTCCCCCAAATTGTCATCCCATGACCTGTATCCATAACAACTCATTTCTCGTTCCTTGAGTAGATATATTTAATACGAAGGCTTGGATCCTGCTCAAGCCTTGGAATAGTGATTAGGACAGGTTCTGAGGAGTCTTGAGACTCAAATTTTCCAAGCATGTTCCTGTCACCCATGACGTATACCTCTCTAACCTCCCCTTCCTTACTCTCTTCTTGGTTGATCGGTTCTGTGAGGAGGACAGTATGATAAGACCCAGCTGCCACATCAATGATTCTCTTATTTTCATCCTTAAACTTCTCAATATCAATAATCTTGAGGTCCTTGTAGATGTTCTCTGAATCTATATCACTAATAGGAAAGCCAAGCTGGCCTCTATCATTCTTCCCAACCGTGGCTATCTGGTAGCTATAGAAGAGGAACACAGCATGATGGACCCCAAGACCGATCCTAGCTACTTTTCGAGAATGATTATCCTTTGGAAGCCCTTTTGGAAGCTTAGATTTCTCAAAATAATCTGCTATTTGCCCGAAAGCAACTATTCTGATCTCTTCGTTAGATTTCTTGTTTTGAAAACTTTGATTGATCTCTTTTGATTCTCTGAGGGCAATAGAGTCTCTACCATAGATATCAACAACGTCGTTTTCATCTAGAATGGAGGGTTCCCTTCTTCTGTACGAATCCCTTAAATCAGTATTTGCTTGCTTCTTAAATCATGAAAAAAGTGACTTGAACATTTTTGCAACAATAGTATTAAATAACTATTTTTGGGGTTTTGGGGTTTTGGGGTTTTGGGGTTTTGGGG